TGATCAGGCTGATTTCATAGCATGGGTCTGGATTATTTCTGGAACAATGATGTCAAGGCTGTACAGCTTTGATATTTTATCTTCATGGCTGATTATGTTACCATGTGGTGAGATAATATCTATTCTGGACTCTTTGAATTTGAGTTCAAATCCAGCATCTGTAATATGTCCTATTGACATAAGATTGAATAGTGCATCAGAGCAGTGGATACACTCCTTTAGTGTGACTTGAGTGATCTTTTCTCCTTCAACCATTTTAATCTTGACAGTTTTCCTTCCCAAGCCTTTAGATTTGCCTATACCAATGACTTCATGTCCTGGAGTTTCAGCATAGTCAGAAAAATACAATCTATTTTTGACTATATATCTCATGGTGCCAGAGTTCCCTAGCCATAATACTCCTGAGAGTGAGGTAAGTGTGACATCTGTTGCACAAAATACATAGTCTTCTTCTTCTGAGTCCAATTTGGCAATATGTGCCTGGGTCTGGCCCTTTCCCTTTTTTTTCCATGACTTTCTGGAATTGTTCTTCCCATTTGAGCAATTTGTTCTGATATGACCAGTTTTCCCATATCTGTAACATGTGACTTTTGGATTAGACTTCTTGTCATGTGCTGCAAGTGTTGTGGTCTAATCAGAAGTCTTTTCCTTTAATTGGATGTCTTCCTGAAGAATTCAGAAAATCAACTTGTAAGAATCTTTTAAGTCAGCAGTATCCACTGATGAGATAAATGAATTCCATGATTTCAGAAGTGATGTAAGCAGTGTAATAGAGAAGTCCTTCTCCTCAACTTTCTGCTTAAGAGATGCCAGCTCCTCCTGATAGGATCTCAAAGTCCTAATATGCTCCTCTATATTTCCTCCTTCTTTGCACAGAGTTCTGAAGAATTTCCTTCTTACAAAGACAATTCCCATGGATCCCCTAGACTCATACATATCTTTCAGAGCTTTTCAGGCTTCTGCTGAAGTCTTTGAACCAGCAATATATACCAGCAGGCTATCAGAAACCTGCAATCTTATTGTTGAAAGAGCCTTCCTATCACTCTTCTTCCAATCTGCCACCAGTGTTGTGTCTGCTGGGGCTGAAATGCTTTCATCTGCATAATCAATTAGTCCTAAATTGGTTAGAATATCGATCATCTTGATTTTCCACATCAGATAATTTTCTGGACCCTTAAGGAGGTTGATTCTATACACAGACTGGCTATCCATATGGTTCTATGTGTGTACATAAGATATGAAAGGATGCAAAGTGAGTAGCAATGTAAGTTCAGTTATGGCCAGGGCCTATAACCTGTTATAAGTAGAGAGCAGAGTAATGTACAGAGGATTAGAATTAGCCTCTTAAGAGAGAGATATTCTACTTAAATAAATTTTGTATTACTTCAAGATCTTTCTACAAGATACTAAATAAGTCCAGATTATGATCCAAGTCAGCTGCCACTGACTGGCATCATATCTTCAAGTACATTCTCATACTTGCTCAGGATTGCTATCCCAACACAGATGATAGTGTCTTATAGCTGCTGCAAGAGGGTTGCTGACATGAGTGTTACTTTAAGTCCTTGTTAGGGTGCAATGATTACCAGACTGATTTGCTTGTGACTATTTCCAGTGTGGAAACTCAGAGTAAATCTTCTCTCCCAGATGTAACTTCTGGTTTTCCTGTTGAAGAGGATCTGAGTGCATACAAGGTGAAAACAGATATAGCAGAGTGTTATCCACTGACCACACTCACACCAACACACACACAAAACTCTTAGTTCATGAGAGGATTATAATGTGATAAAAGTAGCAATCAACAAATATAATTGTCCTCTTCAATGAGATCACAGTGCACAAACAGTAATAGCATGCTTACAACAGTCTAAGGTCTCTCTAAGTCTCAAAGCTTTTTATTTTATCAGAACAAGAGGTGGCAACAGGTGTTGCCAGGCCTCAAGGCAAAGGGTACTGCAGCTCAATACAATACATCAAAACTCTCTCACAAAACTCTCCAAAAAGTCCTAAGCACAGCTCAGATCAACTTAAAATCCTTAACACACACAATACACAACTCAAAGCTTCACACTTTAAGCAAAAGAAACCAATCACAAACATGTCCACAAGTGCCAAAGAGCACAGATCTCTGTTTTCAAGTTTCCAAACTGATTGTAGACTCACAGGATTCAAACCTATGTGATCCAGAGACACAAAACACAATAAAACACTATCTGACAGACCAAAGGATTTGAACCTCTGCTAATCTGTGGAAATAACACAAAAGCACAGACTAATCAAGCCAAAGAGTTTGAACCTCTGCCACCTGTAGCACTGTGCATCACAAATACCTCAAAAACTCAAGATGATGCCCTACAGACACCATTCTCTTATTCTCAGGTTAGAGTGTAATCCAAAACCTCTTATCAAACTGGGCTTAAGTCCTTTATGAGCTTCAATGCCTTGCTTAGTCCTCACAGCTCTCTCAAGGATGTTCAATAATATGTTTATTCTCTCACTCAAAGTTACTAACACAAATCCAGAGCTTAGAGTGCAAGGCTTTCTGTGTCTAATACACTGCAACTGTGAGGGTTGGAAACTTGTCCTCTACTCATACAATACTGTATTTAAATACTCTACTATGGTACTTACTAATACAATCCTACTATGGTATCCTCAAAGTGCAGGACTCTATGCTGGATCCTGCAGGTATTATTCACATGCATATTGCAGTCATCATGCTTATTCTCTTTCAGGCAAGGACTGTGCCTGCTGTTCCTTTGCTAGCTGACATCAGCTAGCTGGCCTCACCAGGTCTGCTCACTTTCTTATTTCCCTGATGACATTTCTGACAGCAGTAAACTGTTCCAGACTCTCAGGGTTATCTCTTATGCCAGAAGTCAGCCACAATGGCTATGTTCTGCTTCCCTGTGTCCAGCCAGTCATTCTATCTGACTCACCAAAGATGCCATTTCTTGGTATGATGTGGAGTCCCTCACTGTGTTATGCATGCTAAGGCACCATAAGTATGTGCACTATTCATTCCTGGAGTAATATTCCTCTACTTATTACTTTGTTGTCATCATTCTATTTCTCCATTCAATACCCATTTACTCAGATATCTTTCTTTGGGTCTCAGTTCTCTGTTCTAAAGCATGTCCCATCAGTGCATCAATGGCTGTGTATCTTTAATCAATGTGATCAGAATTGCTGATCATATTTTGATTGTAGTCTTTTTATTTTTAGCATGTCCTCTTGTAATAGTATTGACACATTTAGGGCCAAGTGCTGGGACCTCACCTGCAGCCTAACCCCTCTGGTATTAGTCTATTACTAGGCCATGCACTCTGCTTATTGTTACTTCAGTTTTAGCATTATGATAGCTAGGTTTCTGTGCACTCTAGTCCTATTTTCTGTTACATGCTTACTGGACTGGAATGCAGTCCATGTATTCGTGATTTTCGCAATTTTACATGCCTGAACATGGAGAGGGTGTGTCACTGTCTCTCTTTTGAATGGGACCTTGACTGATTCACTTCTAGACCATATAACATGCAGTGTGAGTCTATGTCAGTCTTGTAAATCAGACTTAACAATCCATATGAAGATAAGTCATTCAAAGGATGTACTAAAACTCTGAAAATTCTGTTAACTTATTTTATAGTATACATCTCTGCTAGTATGTCAGTTAGCATATATGCCTGTCATCATGTTTAGTGCCAGAGATGTTCACATGAAAGCTGGGTTTGACTTCCAGCTGGAGAGTAGGTTCAGCTCATGTGTAGATTTTTTTTCTGACTCTGCATCAATGAGGTATACATCTCTGAGTGTTATACACTGTCTGTGGGTAGGCAAGCTGGTTCAAACCTTTGATGAAATTAATGGATTATCTCCAGTCTATCAAAAAGCAGATTAAAGCAAGATCCATGCATGTCTGTCATTTTTTCTAGACCATCATCTGTTACAACATCGCACTGAAAAAGCTGTTCTGCAGTACCAAGATACAGTGTCTTACTAGAACAGCAGTTTCCCCAGGGACTGACCATTACCACAAAGATATCAGCATTTTCAGGCCATTTGCCTTTAACTTGCTTCATGATACAGACACTAATAGCTTTTGCTGAATTTGTATGAAGGTGGTCCATATAGACCACACACAAGGCTGTGAACACAAGAGATGTAGCAAGGGCTGTCAGAAATACTACAGAAGGAGAAGCATCCCAATTCTTTGGGTTCAAGAGAAGGCCCCATCATTGCAAAAAAGGTGACAAAACCAGCCATCAAAGTGATGGGAAGGAATGCAGCTGCAAGAAAACAAATTCCTGTGGTGAGAATCATGATGAGAGTGGGAAGAAAATGAGAAATCCAAGATGACATGGATATGATGCTGATTCCAGCCAGGTAGGTGAAACAAAGTCACAAGAGCAAGCAAGCAGTAATTATAAAGCTGGTGATCTTCAAGAAACAATGCAAGATGAGTGCAGCCATACAAGTTGCAAGTGAGGACAGTGAACAGCAGCTGCTCTTGGAAATTTGTGAGACATAAAATGTGTACCAGACCAATTGTTTCAAGTTCAGTTCATCCTTGAGAAAGCAGCCTGGTTCCAGGTGCCCTCCACCCTCTCCACTCTCCACAACTGACATTACTAGCATCTGATGGACAAGGAGAGTGAAGTGATTGATGTAGTCTGTAGCTGGGAAAGGACTGAAAGGGGGGAAGTAAAGATAATTATTGCATGCTCTTGAGAAGGTCACTCATAATATAGATCGAAACATTCAAGAAGTTGGGTTGATTGCCTTCAGTTATTCTCTTAGGAGCAAGCTATGTATATTAAACTGGAATGGATACCTTAGCCATTCATCCTAAGGGTACCAGATATTCTGTCAGCAGGCTGGGACTTGGGATTCAAATCCATTTGTTTCATAGTATTCATACTAATGTCTTTGTGGAGAGATTATAATTGAGATGTGATAGCATGTCTGAACTTTCGCACTAATTCATTCCCATTGAGTTGATGGCTTAACAAATAGGTCCCATATATACCAAAATAGATATGTCATCCAGAGTAGGATTTATCGATGTACTATGATCCACTATCACATAGACATAGAATAGTAGTGACCTACGAGACACAAATGACCGGAGCTGCCGGTGATTTGCCGGGAAGGAACCCCGGGACGCGTTATTTGCTTCTGTTCCTCGATTGCTTCAGACGTGTCAGTGTCGATTACATCACCCTTTCCTTCTGTTCCCCGTCCTCAAGAGAGAAGGATTCTACTGCAAGCAGTCTCGAGTATCAGTCCCTGTTTGACAGTACAAGGCCATGCAAGGTCCTATTGACAAACGACGCCCATACTCTGCAACCGGAGTCAACCAGGAAGATGATTACGGATAACTGGCAGTCTCGGCCGGGGATTCAGGGAATGGTATTATTGGTGGAGAGCCGAGGGCACGAAGGAACCTTGCATACCTGTCCGAAAGTTTTGAGTATGTGTCAATATCTGTACGTCTTTATTCCCTATTTGATGTAGGCGTCATCTACCCTCGAATTACAGATACATTTCACGTACAGTTTACATCACCCCTCGGATGATGACTGCCGTCGTCTTATTACCTGGGAGAATTTAGAAATTTATACATATGTGCTTACGATGACGGCCCGTGTACGTTGGTTCCATGCCTGTCGATCAAGAAGGCCACCAGTAAGGAAACTGTTGTGTATTCAGTCTCGAAGCGGCAGCCTGCGATATACCGGCGCTCGGGGAATACGACATTCACGCATCCATTATGTCGACAGGCTTGACACCATCGGAAAACCTAGATCATACAAATTCAATGCGAGTCAGAACTTGGCGTTAACTTCATAATGTCACTTCCAACTCCCCAAGGTGTTTCCTCTCCAACTTTCAAAGCTCCTCCGCTCGATGGGTCACTGACATTTCCGGAATTATTCGACTACAATGCTATTCATAGCGCTAAGCACACACTGTTTCGCTACGATGACCTTGCCAATGGCGGATTTCGTACCATCTCCTGGGAAGAAGGCGTCGCCGCCATCCATACCGCCGGACACTACTTCAAGAAGTTCATCCAGCGCGAAGCTCCCGTCTCCATCGCTATTTTGGCCAATACTAGTAAGTCTGTCCGTTTGCCGCCTTAAGCCTCTGAACGTTTCCTCCAGATTCGATCACTTATGCCATGGTAATCACTGGCTTGATGCGTCTTGGGTTCATTCCTTTCCCCATATCACCCCGTAACTCTGCAGCCGCCGTTGCCCATTTGATCAAGTCCACGGACTCCAAGCATCTAATCGTTAGCCAGGATCCGTCGTTGCAGAAAGTGGCGGACACGGTTTGTCATCAATTCTGGGAGACTGAAGGTGGCGATAAGATAACGACCATACCAATGCCCTGCTTTAGTGATCTCTTTTCTACAAAACCTGGGACATGCGAACCCCTTCCTCCTGTGCACCCTGATTGGTCACAAACAGCGTTCATTATGCATTCATCGGGGACAACGCGCTTTCCTGGTCCTATCTATGCCACGCACAAGCACTTGCTGCAGCACGCTGTGAGACCATGTAAGTGTATTCTTATTTGGGCTTTTGTTCAAACTCAACGTTGGGTAGATTATGGAGATGTGGACCTATGTGGACAAGTTTTTGGATCCCAGTCAGCTCCTATGTACCGTTTGTGTCTATTTTATATGTATCCTCGGTTGCCAGAACCCTGATACTACGTTTCAGACGCAATGGGCTTTGTTTCTATCACGGATTCCGTGTGTTAGATCTCATTTACTGGTTTACATCATTCATATCCATCGGCAGACCGCAACGGGTTCTATTATGGCCTGCTTCCCGCCAGTAGAGCCGCCTGTGATACCGACAGCGGAACGCATTCTATCAAGTATAATTAATACCGGAACAACAATAGTCGCCACCATTCCTTCGTTCTTGGTGGTATGATACCGGTATTGAATATCAGACCGCTTAACTAACATGTGTTGTAGGAATGGGCCCACAATCGACAGGCTGTCGAGGTTCTGAAGGCTACCGCCGCAGTTGTAGGACATCGTCTCACAACCGAATAGCTGCCACTCATGTCTCTTTAGGCTTATGGTAGCGGTCCTCTAGAGAAGGAAGCTGGTGATACTCTCGTAGCAAATGGTATCTTGCTACTCACTGTCTATGGACTGTGAGCATTGTTTTATATTCTGATTGACTGTAGAATGTTTATATCAATCGTAGTACTGAATCTTCAGTATCTATGTTGTGGGCTAGTACGTGCATTGTTCCTTTCCTGCTACACCCCCATTTATCTAATACATAGACAGTATTCCAGTCGAAGGATGGGAGTGGATGAAAGTAAGCATCTCCCAACGTTCTTGACAATTGGTAATTAATTGTAACACATTTCTAGGTAGCGAGAAATGTCGATGTCGCTTTTGTACCAACAGATGAGCAGGATATTTACCGTCTGTACGTCAAGGTAGGTCGGTGTCGGCGGTGCCTCATCAAGTAACTAACAGTGTAGCGCGGACATTAGGACGGTCCGTTACACTCGCCTGCGGTCCTGGACACCGAAATTGATGGAGTAAAAGCCTTCGACACTAAGGATTTGGTACAACTACATCCTTCGAACCGGAAATTATTCAAGGTCTATGGGCGTGCCGGTGAAGCAATACTTTCAATCATCTGCCGTGAGATTCTCATGCCGGTTCATAGATGAACAAATTATGCATAGCACGGGGGTGAGCCTTTGCGTTTATCTCTATCATTCTGATGGTATCTCATTCTATTGTTCCACAGGAGAAAGTAAGGAGATTCATCACACTTTAAGCGCTCATGCTAAATATGTTCTGTAGACAAACCCTGTCCCCATCGGTGAGCAGGAAATGATGCACTTCGCTCTATGCTAACACAGATGAATGAAGAGGCTGGCCTAGTCCTGGATAAGCGTATAGCGGCAGCCATGATGTTTGGTCGTGCCAAATTCCAGCCGGGCGTCCTCATTTTGCCCACTCCAGAGGAAGCATTTGATCCGAATGATACCACGCGACTTGCGGAATACCGAACTAGCATCTGGTTAGCCCTCACATTCGCTCTTCTTGAATTGCGCTCATATTGAAACTTACAGGGATACTATCACGAAAGTCAATGAGCAGGCACCTCAGCATTCTCGAATCTACAAGGAGGTGGGGCTTTCTTCGTCATTCATCAAGCATCATGCATCATTTGCTGATTATCTTTGAAGATGATCATCGTTGCAAACCCGGCAAAGCCTTTCGAGTTCACTGTAAAAGGATCTCTTCGACGTAAGGCGGTCTTGAAAGCGTACGAGCAAGAAATTGAGTCTTTATACAAGACTGTCGATGAAGCATCGGAGACGGACATCGTTATCCCCCAGCTATGGACTTTGAAGAATGTCGTGACCATAGTTAGGGACATCGTCACTGCAGTCTTCCAGCGGAATATAGGCGACACCGATAATATTTTCTTAGCGGGAGGTGATAGGTATCCTGCCATTTCGTTTGGCTTTCAAGATACTAAATCTTTGAAATCTAGCCTTACTGCAACGTCCATCCGAAACTCACTTCTTCGTGCGATTCGCAAGTCTAAAGTAGTACCGGTTGCCGTCATCAGAGCTCTACCGCATAATTTTGTCTTTGATCTTCCTTCTATCGCCGCTATGAGCGCTTTCGTCCACGGAATCATGGTTGGTGCACGTGCTTCGCTGGGAGCTACCCGAAATGACGAGGCCGATGAGGAAGGATATCCCGAAATCGATTCTGTCCCTGACTTGGGCCAAAGCCTAGTCAAGTTACGAGAACGTGGAGGCGAGCCGCCTTTGATTATGCTCCATGGTCAGTAGCGTCCCTCACGGCAATGGCATTAGGTTTCTGATGTCATCGTAGGCGCTGGAGGATTGTATTTCGAATACGTATTCTTCGCTGAAAAGTTTAGAACTGCAGTTTGGACTATGACCGTGACGCCCGATACTCCCCTGAATTCCCTACACGAGATGGCAGCTTTCTATTTCGCCAAGATCAAATCGGAACGGCCCATAGGTCCCTACCGTTTAGCGTCGTACTCGGCATCGAGCGTTCTCCTCGTTGTGCTTACTAAACTGTTTGAGGACAATGGAGATGAGGTTGTTCAGGCCGTCATACTTGATCACTTTCCGGCGATGTTCATGTACTCAGCAAACAAGTTTGGGAACCCAGACCCGAGGGTGGCAGAGAACATCAAGATGATGCTCAACGCGGGCATGTCTGCGATTGGGGGCATGATGGACCGGGACACGCATGGAAGCGCCCTCCGGCGTTCGAAGAATCTCCTTTTGGATGCATGGAATGGTGGGCCTGCCAATGAGATCTCACGGAGATCAGTCGGTACTATAAAGGCATACCTCACCGCCATCGCCGAGTTTGTCTATGATTTGTTCACGGACGAGACCGGCGCGGCTTCGATGGAGTTGATGGCGCAGTGGATGAGGACGGTGAAGGCGCCGATAACGGTGGTCGTTGCGGCGGATGGGGCGGTGAGGAGCGTAGCCGATGAAGATAGGGAGATGTGGGCGGACTTGGGCGCAAAGCGGTGTCTTCCCGACGCGCAGGTTGTTTTTGTCAAGGGGGGTCACTATGAATTCTTAACAGACGACAGTGTTATACGGCTGCTGCAAGAAGGTTGCTGAATGCTGCAGATGTATTATTACTTTGCTCGTATTCAGCGGATCTGTCCTTGTTAGACTACGATGCTAGAACTTATTTCATTGGATCGCTTTAGACGAGGAGGCATACCGACGTACACAAATACCTAACTGAAGATGGCCACGCTATGTTTCCCTCCGGTAAGGGCAATCTCGCCATCCGCATCGACGTCGACAGCTTCTTCATCGACCACAACAGAACCATTTCTGGGTAGCTTCACTTGGCCACTGGTTCCCTCCGGTGTACTGATCTCCATGAAGAACTGATTGTCCTGCAGTGCCCATTTCACCCCAAACCACCCCAGCGAGGTTCCAAAGCCACCTTCGGCGCCAGGAAGTCCGCCGTTTATATGGGGGCTCAGAGACCAGGTAGCACCCCGGGGAGACGTGATGGTCAGACCCAAGATATAGAAAGTCAGCGCGGAAGTAGGTCCGGAAGACCAGCCATGTGCGTGCGAGGTATACGCAGCATCATAATTGTATCCTCTGTAGGATCGGTACCTGCAGCTGATGTGAATTAAATACAGGAACGACGGAAAGAAGACGTACCAAAGAGAGCCGTTCGCCGTAAAACCCTCGAGTAGGGTGCTTTGCACAGACAGGTTCGTGTATAATATGTAACCCCATTCCCGACGTAAAAGGTCCAATGCTCGGTCGTCTTGACCGGCTTCAAAGTGGGCTTGTAGCTACCGACGACAACCATCGTTAACTTTAGAGCCGCCATCTCTAGGATACCTCGCACTCACCTCAAAGCCGCTAATAAACGGCGAGATCGTATCTGGGAGCTCTGGAACCACGGGTCCTAAATCATTCCAATTCTTTTCCAGACCTTGGCTCACGGCGACCTTCTGTTCGTCCGAAAGAGTAAGATTATAAAGGACGGCGAACGAGTTGGCATCCTGCGGGTGCAGCGTTGTCGTCAAATTGTCTCGATACATCCCAGCGCTTTCCACCCAGAATGCCTCGTTGAACTTGGCTTTGAGCGCGGTAGCGTTTGCTCCCCAAGCTGCGGAGAGAGATTCGTCGCCCATGTAGTTCGCTAGATCTGAGGCTGTCAAAAGGACCTACTGCAGTGTAAGAGAGGGGTGTCAAGAAGGAGATACTATGGAACTCGCCTTGTATAGGATCGCGTTTCCCTCGGCATTGTATCCACCACCACCCAGTCGACCCCAATCTCGGAGGCCAGTGACGTCCATTAACCCAGTGCTGTCTACTTTGCCTTCCACGAAAGCGATGGCACGGGTATAATTAGTCCAGATGGTGCTAAGCCAATCGTCATCCCCAGAATAAAGATAGTAGTTGTCTATACAAATATCATCAGCTTTAAAATCATGGGTTGCATACACACGACTGACGAGTTCCGATGAGAGTCCAGCAGTGATAGGTGTCCGAGCCGAGCTGGCTGAGAGGAGGTCCTGATTCCGGTAATGCGCCTGTTTCGGGATTGATAGCGGCAAACATAGTAGACAAGGCATTCCTAGTGGGAATCAAATCGAACGTGGAGACGAATTGGGTAGGGACTGCGATGCCCATATCACCAGGCCATACCGCGCTGCACAAGAATACCGTATTAAAGGGAGCCTCGAATGGGACACCAAGATACATACCGGTCACGTTTTGCGCCTAGAATTAAATTTCAGCCTCTGGCGAGAAACCCACGGAGATTGAGCCAATTACCATCGACGATTATGGGACCCGCAACGCCAAGTGTTGCATTATTGAACCAACCTGATACATGTTGAGTTATAGAAGAAAAGTTCAGATGAGGATAAGACGTACTACCGGCTGCAGCGAATGGAACTTGTCGGCCGGTGTGGAGGGGAACGGTGTTTGTCTGGACTGTGTACGCACCAGCATACCATACTATAGATAACTTATAAGCAAATTTGACAATATATCAGGTGTGAAGCAAACCTTTCGTTAGGAAATCCGGATCGTGGAACACAGGATCTGAAGCATAAAAGTAACCTGTATAGGCTCTCAAATTTTCGACATGAGGCATGAACGAAATAGCACAAGAGACGTTGGAGATTTCGAGAGCGGTCTCTGAATGAGATACGATGGTCAGATATCGGAAGCCACCGCGTAGAGAATAAGAAGGCTGAGTCCAGTATCCCTTTGACAATGGTGCAGGGATCGTGAAAACACCGTCATAGGTCATATTGGGTGCCGGGTAGGAAGAATCGTCTGAGGCGAGCGGGTTAACAAACATTGGCGACTCTGTGAAAGATAGCGAAACTGAAGATGTATTGCCGACGGCGTCAAAGTTGAGCGAAACAAGCCCTCCGACCTAGTTAACGGGGTTTTTTGAGCCTTGAATAATCAAAAAGGCAATGTTCTGCACCTCAATTCCAAAGTCCAACGCGATCCATGAACTTGGGGACAGAGTCGCGCTTCCCATATTCCCTACCAGCTTTCCAGAGCCAGACACAGTGCCTACACTTTTGTATACAGCTTGGGGGTAAACGGTCTTGGACTTGGGTGCGTAGTTGAACGAGTCCCAAGGACCATCTGGAGCGAGCGCGATGGCGGCAGGAAGGAGAAGCAAGTAGAGCAGCATAGCTGACAAGGTCAATGCTGGTAGGTGGCGAATTTAATCGCTTCACGGAATTTCACTAGTTCATCAAATGACGAAGGTACTTTGATCACCAGATCCTCAGAAGGCCCGCTGGAAGACATGGATTTGCCGGATTGCTTGTGATGCGTGGTGACGCATGATGTCCGATGACAGACTAAGAACATTAGAATGTTCGAAATGTCTCGTGCTCCTGTTCAAACATAGTGTCAATTCGATGTAAAGTACAAGTTGGAAAGGAAATTGGGGCTTTGCAAAAGATTTTTTTTTCCTATGTCGAATATAGAAGCCCAAGGATTTGGATATACAATTGTGGCGGCGGCTTTAAAGTACTCGCATCCCACTGATTTGAGTTAGCAAAGCGGATGTGCCAATGACGGTGGACATAGAGAAGAGCTCGGGCCGGGTCGGCCGTCGGCCGTTTGCTCCTGCTGCTGCTCGTTGCTGTGATTTCTTGAGAGTTTGGGTGTACCTGACGTGAACGGTAATAATACAGGATTTTTCAGAATTCGGACAAGCAATAGTTGGAAAATGTCCACGAAAAATTCCATGGCCGACAGGTCCACAAAATGGACACGCGTTACTTGTTTCTGTTTCCTATTGCCCAAGACGCGTCAATTATATAGGCACCGTACCTTTACCTCGACCACCATCTACTTCGCCAACCACGCCAACGGAGGATCTCTCTTTACTCTCCAGCTTCGGCTTCTGCAAATCATGACGGGCGGTATACAATCCTGTCTAACTAGGATCAATCATTGCTAATCAGAACGATGACGACAAGAACCAACTTTGCTCGGTGCTGGAAGTGATATCGGCGAGGATCGATGGACGGGACAGGCGTGGCCTCCATCGAATTTATGCAGCAGTGTGTGACGACGGTAATTTGGTGAAGGTGCCAATAACAGTAGGTGTCGTTCCGGAAGGAGCATTGGGATATGTGCCCGAAGAAGACAAGGAAAGAAATGTGGGCCGATTTGGGCACGAAGCGATACCTTCCTGATGCGCGAATTATTTTCGTCGAAGGAGGCCGCTATGAGCTCTTGACAGACGAAGTTGTTCCACCGAGCTTTTGCAAGACTTACCGAGATTCATTTCCATGCGTCGAGCTTTTTTTTTTTTGGTTACAATCAGAGTTCGTTCGGACCTTTTCTTCCTTTTGCGCTTTTTCCTGTCTGGTCCACACCAACCTCCCTTTGAGGAAATTTTTTTTCTCTATTCTTCATCTATTCTTTGTCTGTTTCAAAGCTTTCTCAGCCATTACCTGTACCCGGATTTCGGTCCGGAAGCCGAAACCACTCACATCACGGTTGCTGTCGGTCGGTTCCGAGGTAGCGCTTGGTTACTCACCACCATCTTCAGCATTGTTTGTTGAAGACGTCCCGCAGACATTGGTCTTGTCTGCAGGCAGTGCTCCGTAGGAAGGTTTGTGCATGTGTTTTTAACAAGCTTGGTCCTCTGTTTACTGTTTTCGCTCAGTTCTCCTGATCTTGCGACGTATTTTCCCACCTCACTGCAATTCATTTATCATGGATCCCCATGTAGCACGCCTCCTCTCAGATGCTCATGAATACTCCCAATTGGGACCTGACCTGATCTATACCCAGTACCAACGGCTGATGTCTTTGCTTTCCACTTCACTCGCTCAATTCCTTTCTACCAAGACCTTGACATTCTTTCCTACCGAACTTCTATGCACCATCTTTTCTTATGCCTGCGCCACTGACCCACACACGGATCCACCGCTGCATGGAAACCTGATCATGATCACAACACCGATGGTCATCGCGTCGGTCTGCACGCGCTGGCGCGAAATAGTGCTCGACATGCCATCTGCATGGGCGTGTATCGATATCAACTTTATTCCTCGCCTTGACAGAGGTGGAAGGGATAGTGATAAGCTAGAAAGACTGGTAGAGAGATACGCAGAGAGATCCAAGGCTGCTCCCCTTTCCATCCGCTTACGCTTTCCACCCCCTGTTCCAAGTCGAGACCCTCGCTCCTCGCATGAGCATATTGTGCGTCGTCTTTCGAACTTCATCATCCCCCTCCTTATCCCTCATGCTACGCGATGGCGACACCTGGCCCTAAACCTTTCTTCCGGGAATATCGCGCCCCTTTACGCCGTGTTCGACCTCCCTAGCACCGGCTTTCCAATGTTGGAGACGCTCACATTGGAAAACCTCGCCCTGGGCACGAGTAACATTTGCGATAGCTTCGCATCGGCCACAACTCTCAAACACATCCAGTTTAAAGGCACCGTCCTTCATCCTCTCTTATATTCCTTACTACCCCGATTAGGCAAGCAGCAGAACGTGAAGACCATTGTCCTCCAAAGTATGCCGTACGGAAGACTCATGCCAGCGATTGGTTCCTTGCTCAACGTGGAGAGGCTTGTGCTGCAGGACATGAAACCAGATACGGCACAGCAGCACGGATTTCCACTTCTGAGGGCCAATTTACGCCGGCTCACGATTGTGTTCGGAGAAATCAATGAAGGGGTCGTGTTCTCGTCTTTTCTGGCCGCGCTTGAATTGCCAAAATTGCGAACATTGGAGGTGATCGAGCCATATCCCATGAATGCGAGGACTCTCCTGCCGGCATCTCTCAAGTCGCTTGTCGTCCGTTCCGAAGCGACGATGATGCTGCGGAGACTTGTTTTGAAGGGCATCGTGATGTGGGCAAGCGAGCTGGTGAGCCTGTTGGAGGTTGTACCGTTGCTGGAGGAACTGGTTGTGCATGAGTCACGCGAGAGACCGAAGATGTGGCGCGGATTTGATTCATATGGGTTCAGCGATGATATCGAGGATGCGCCTCACGCGGTATCGGAGATGTTTTGTCTGCAGTTTTCCGATGAAGATGTGGCGCCGAAATTGAAGGTCTTGGAGCTCGTATGGTTCTCCGAGTTGGATGAGATGTTGGTGATGGATATGATCGAGGCTAGGGGGAAGCTGGAGAACGTTATTCTCGGTATGGGACCGTTTGCTCAGACAACTTATGAGCGGATGAAATTGCTGACGGAGCGAGGAACCAAGTGCTTTGCGTCGGTGGCGTAGTTTGTCGCTCTCTGTTCATATGTACTACTACGTACTTTCTTGGCCACCTAGTACAGTTACAGTTATGAATATGTTGTATGTCTGGTGCGGTTCTGGTTCATCAAAATGCTGGACCTCCGATATCTCCACAGTTTTCACAATGGGTTAGTTAGTTCTTGGCTCCTTAATTCCGCGGCGAGATATATCTTAGTTCCCTGGACGCCTTTCTCCCTGAGCACCTTGGCAATTTGATCATACTGTATTCCATTATCCTCCTAAATCTTGCATACCAGGTCTCTTGGCATAGACAGACGAAGAAGTCATGGTCACCCGACAGAGGCTTCAACGTCTTTGGCTTGTAACTTGATTATGAGAGGCTTTGAATTGCCTTGGGCGGTTGCACGAAGTATCCGCGCATAGCGTGTTTCCCTCCCTCTCTTGGATAGAGGCTCTGTTGGCAACCCAATTAATTACTTGGCGCAACGGATCATCCAAGGGACGCAATGCGGTCTCACTTCAAGCCACAGCGCGTGAGTGAGGGAGGGCATGTTGACAATAAGATTTCGAAGAATGATTGGTTTCGATATTATTAATGGACAATGAATGTCCTGCCCGATAAGGATGTCGGGATTAGATACGCACCTGCGCGCGTCCGGAGCGCTGGGTAGGTAGCGAATTAGTAAAATAAGAGAGATATGCAGTGGTAGAGATAACAAGTATACGCGTAATAGCTTCGCAATTAGTTCGCGTTTGCTGACCTACCCTTGCAAACCGGACCTCTCGGGTATCGTATCCTCACGAACCCTTGCCGGAATCCATATCTACTTCCTAACGACATACATCTCTTCAGTTTACATTCTACCTCGCTTCCATCATCACTTCTTGTCTCCTCATTTCGGTATAATACATAACAGGTCGTTCACAACTCCCCCAAAAGATCCCGCAACTCTTTCTGCACCCGTTGCCTGTCGTCAAAGACAATTCCACGAAGACCTAACGAACGTGCGGAAAGGACATTCTCCGGCCTATCGTCCACGAAAATCGCCACGCTGGGGACCGTGCCAGTCGCCGCGAGGACATGTCTATAATACGCAGGGTCCGGCTTGCGCTCGCCTGCCTCCCCGGACGTGAAAACACGGTCAAATATCTCCCAGTCCGCCGGCTTCGTCCTGAGCACCGCGTAGTCCGGTACCGAGATATTCGACATTGCAAAAACCCTCAACCGCCCGTGCGATTGCTCTTTGAGCTCGCGGATGAGGGCGATCATCTCGTCGTCCGACTTGAGGGAGTCTCGGGCTTGGGCGAGGGCCTCTTTGACTTCGAGCGGGTCGAAGGAGAATTGTTCCCCGACGCGGTCGTAGCAGTCCTGCTCGGTGACCTTCCCCCGTTCGTAGTCCATCCAGGTCGGGGAGGCAAGGATTGCGCGTAAGGATTTGGAGGAGATGCGGGTGGTGGTGGTCGATGACCAGGTGAAGAGCACGTCCCCGATGTCAAGGATTATTGTGTCGAATGGGGGACTCATTGTCAGGTGACTGAGGGCTCGATAGCTTGGTGATAGATATCCTTGATTAGAATCTAGATCGAGTCGCGGATACATCCGGTACGCAGCGGAGGAGCGGTCCGATGACAATAACCCATTTATTGACCAGTGACTAGCTTCCTTCTTTTCGTGCCCGTCAGCTTTTCTACCGTACGTAGGACGTTGGGAAATATCTAGCTATCCAAATGTATAAAATAACTTTTCTATCACAGTAAGTAACAGGTCCTTATTTCTAAATGACTGAAGATTCAATAATTCTATTTTCAAAAGTAAGCCAGCAGTTATCGGATTCCATCTACTATTCTCCGTCCACTAAATTTCGGGATTTTTTTTACTTCTCTGGAATTGCAAATTTGTCATGGCAAAATATTGATATCGGACGAAACATGCTGACCCATCGTGAGAAAGGTTCCGGCGGTGATTGCTATATCGGGATCAGGTCTTCTAAGGTCTTCAAGCCAATGATATCAAGCTGTTATTTTCCCTTCTTCCTTGATACATATCCTGTATACTACTACTATGCCATAAAAAAGGACACCTAGGATACATCATAAAAGTTGCTGTTATCGTACATATGAAGAATTATGAATACCATAAAAATAGCAAAAAAAAAGAAAAACTGAGTGGTGGGCATAACGAGTAACATGTTTTCTAACCGACGATCGCCATCTATACACGCGCGAAAACCGTCAACAACTCCCCCACCTGCGCCCGATCCATTCTCCATTTCGCATCGGTGCCTTTCCCGCTCGTCGAACACGTCTCGGCCGTATCCAGCTCATTCAACCGGCGCAGAAGCTTCTCGTCCCCACTGACAGCGAGCACACACTCCAGATCGTCTCCAGATGCCATCGCCAGATCGTTCGACGTCCACGCCGACCTTCCAGACAGCGGAGCCTGTGCAGGACCACCAGGGTGCAGGATCGCACCCACCGCAGTCGACCGAGAGATATTGTTCGGGATGACGAGGAAGCTGTTTGCCCCGGGTATGATCCGGAGACCATATCGTTCGCCTAGACTGCGAGAGCGAGAGCACATGAGACCGTTGCTCTGGTTTCATTACGCATGATGAATGAATGGCTCACCTGTCGAAGATATGATTCTGAGCTTCGGCAGCTTGCCTTCGCGCCCACTGGCGATCAGCAGAGTCTTCCGTGGGATCCCCCGTCCAGAACCGCCACACCACCGAGGTCTGGCGCTCTTCGACGAATGAATTTGGGGTTCGTTCCGTGAACTAGATAGAACAAGAACGGGGAGGTCAGATGTAACAATGAAATGATACCACGAGCCAAAGTAACGCACATAATTGAGCATCTCAACACAGGAAGACTTCCACGTCATGTTGAGATTTCCGACCATGTTGATCCACTGGGAGGGTTGGCCTCGTCGTGTTCGCGTCTTGATGAAACAACCGTTTTCAGCGCTGTAAAGCATTGGATTAGAAACGGAATGAAGAGACAACAATGATGACCAGCATACACTATACCAATGTCTGGTAACTCTCTGGCCACGACACCCAGCGCACCCTGGACAGTCAAGCCACTGAGCACCCACACCTCGTTCCTCTTATCAGCATTCAGTTGTCTCAGAATTTCGATCGCCGCCTTGAGACCCGGATCCTGCACGTCCACGTCCTTCTTAAACTTCATCTTAAATCTATACTTCTCCCGATCCCACAACGTGCCTTCCAGGTCCACCAGAACAAGCCTTCGCGTACAGTGCCTCCATTGCACAAGGACGCGTCCAACCTTGCTCCTATCCAGCACATCTACGCTCCCGCTATTGCCACCCTCAGTTCCCCGCTGGTGTTCCTGCCAGGCACGCGAGCAGCGGCCCAGAAATCCGGTAACGAATTTCTGTCCACTCTGCTCTTCAACCCAACCAAGAAGCTCTTCCCACCTTCGATACCGTCCTTCAACCGCATCCACGTCGCTGCATGTGTCATTGAGCGCTTCATAGATGCTATTGGCGGTACCAGTTTTATCCCATGGGTTAATGCCAATGCAGCTCCTAAAGCCTCTAAAGCTCCAGCTGCCCGTAAACTCGCTCAGAACGAGGACACCTTGCTTGCCACGTTCCTTTCCCTCTTGGAGGACGACGAACTCGTGTGTTCGAAGCGCCATCCCTTCTCGGAGTGAGGTTACAATGAACGCATCCGCGCAGGTGAGCAAAGCGAGGTACTGTGAGTAGGTAACGTCCGATGTCGGCAAAAATACGATAGGCTGATAGGTAAGAGTCGAGAAACGAGAGTTGATGGAAGATACCGTAGTCAAGATTTGATCTATAAGGGCCGAGTTGGGCGTAGCTGTGTTCGGTGACCGCGGAGCATTCGAAGGTATCGCAATCTGGATGAGAACAACCTAGAAATGGTATTAGAAAAAATGATGGAGAGCGATTAGGATGTACTCACTTTGCCCTGATACTCGGGATGTTTCTCCAAGAAGACTTCAAAGGCTTGAATTTTTTGCTTGACGCCCTGTATCTCGTCCATCTTGTCCCGACCAACAATGAGCTTCATCCCCGCGTATCGCTGCTTTAGCACAGCTATCCACTCTGACACTTCCGGTTCGCGTCTCCTCTCCCTCAGAAGCGCGACATCGATACCCATGGGATACACTCCCACATCGACGAACCTCCCTTTGCCCTCCTGACTACTTCCTTCTTCCTCGCCCATAAGTTGAATACCCCTTGGAAGGGCCTCGACAGCCAGAATGCGAGAGCAAGTCTGCCTGAAATGACGCGCGAAATTCGCAGTTTGGAATCCCACCAAGTCGGCGCCAAGCATTCCCTTCAATAGTTTATCCCGCACGGACAAGCACCGAAAGATTTCCGACGAGGGGAACGCGATGTGCATAAAGAACCCGATAGGGCCCGTCACGCCTGCGGCCCGCAACATCGCAGGGAGAAGCATCAGATGGTAGTCATTCACCCACACCACATCGCCTTCCCGCCAGATTTGCTTGATCGTATCCGCAAATTTCTGATTCACCTTGACGTACTGCTTGAAACTGGCGCTCTCGTAGAACATCGTAGTCTTCGGTGCATCAGGAATCGCGTAGTGCAGGGCGGGCCACAGGACCTGGTGACAAAACTCATCGTAACAACCTTCAAACACGGCATCCTCGACCCATACGACCTCGCTTTCGTAACCTCCAGCTCGAAGACGCGTCGACGTGCGCTGACGAAGCGTGTCGCTCCAACTATCCGTCTCCACGCCCAAGGTGCCGACCCACATTTTCTTCCGAGGCTGAGCTCGCGCCGTACTGAATGATACCGAGTCCACAGCATTCTTAAGGCCACCGTTACAATGAGCGTTAGGTTCGATGTGAAAATCGGGATTTGGACCGTCAAGGTCAGGGGAATACGGAGCGTGGTCTGATCGTCGAGAGAGTGAACGAGAAGACGCGCGACGGCGTAAACGACGTTGGTTCGGAATTCTATAGGAAAGCGGGGGCCCTTTTGTTGGCGACGTCAAGTCGGTCGTACTAGGCGACTTGGACATCGATGTAGGTGTATTGATTTTGGAAAATGGATTGCTGGATTCATTCACTGGTGACGTTGGTGCGCCCGTAGGATGCCGCGACTGTAAAGGTACGTCAGTATACGTTCGCGGAACTCCGGAGTGGGGTAAATATTGGGGTAAATATGATCGATCCTGAACGACGAATCCCCTGTACGGAAACATTCCGTTGGGGGTTGCAAATGAGACAATACAGATGCACGCGGCTACGAAGCCTGGGGGAGGGGGGATAAATGAACGCTCAAGGACATCGAGAGCTTCACAGGAGGAAATACCAGAACAAAACGAAGGGTAAATGACGATACTCACCCGATCCCTCAGATCTTCCACAATGCTCTTCAATGGAGGAGCCCTCGAGAGCACCGCGGGCTTCGTCTTGTCATTCTGAAGCCTCAAGACAACCTCTGGCATGTTGATATCCTTGGGCTTTGCGGATGAGGAGAGGCCATTGGCCTTCGACGTCGTCCGAGGAGCGACGTTGTCCGGTGTCGACTTGCCTGACCCATCTGTACCGAGAACGATGGTATTGGGCAAGAAAAGCGACGCGATGACGACCCTATAGTTCCGAAACGAAGACGATGAGGACATTGGATGCTGCTGGGGCACGTAGGGGTGGTAAGGGAAAAGATATAGTCCTCGTCGTCGTCATAAGAGGTGTGACACATCGAGCCGAGAACAGGCGGATTTTCTGCACACAACTTCCCCATTTGGACTAGCTCCGCAAAAAAGGCAAAATCACGAGTTTTTGCGATGAAATTCGTCTTGCCTGTTCTGGCCATCACCCTCAGAGAAAGTACTCGCAAATCTGAAATCACTGATCTCATCCCGAGTTGTTCCACCATCACCTCGTACTTACTTCGGGTATTCACCATGGAGATTACTGGGCACAGCTGTACGAACGTGCGCTGTATGACAGGCTTGATGAGTATGTATATAAGTATAGATGGCTATATCAATTGTCCGATGGGGGGAATGCCGGGAACGACAGTAGTCCTCAGTAGTCGGTAACTTAAAATATCTATCTATCAATTACCACAGATATGTGGAAACCCCCGGTCCACCTGCCAGTGTGCGACGCGTTTTTTCTTGAGTACCAGGCCTGGTTCATTTACTCAGATTTCTGCCGGTATAATTCCCCTTCGACTCCGATGGTTCTCAAAATATTAGCGGCTGAAGACTACGCATGAACGAATGACCCCGAGGATCGTGAGAAATTTTCTCATGGACAGTCATATCCCGCGCGCGCACGAAGATCTCTACTCCGACTCGGTAACAAATGGGCATTGTGCATGTGGAACGCCCAGGCGAACTTGTCACCCGGAAAACATAAATAGAAGCCGCTGAGGGCCTCCAACGCTTACCACCGGAAAGATAATCGCGGCGGCCTTGCCAAGACTAACGGGTCCTCTTTGCTCCGAAGTATGCTTGAAAGGACACTAATACGATGGGAGCGGGTTGAGACCTTCCGCATCCATCTGAAAGCGAAGGCGCAAGAGAATGGGGTTAGTAAAAGAGGCTTCGCGGAGTCCAGAGAACAAGACTCAGGACGAACTGACACCGAGACAGATGGCTACTTTGTAGATGCTTATGCCCACTGTCAGACGCCACTTTGGGGAGACGATATGCCTTCGCTTGACAGAGCGATATACACAAGGAGGATGCTTCGATTTAGCCAACAATATCTCGCTACTTACTATACTCGGTCCGTCTGGCACTCTTTAACTGCGGTAACATCATGAGATTGGACGCTACGCGTGAAAGGGTAGAGACAGCAAAAATAACGTGAGATCAAGGGAAAGTGGAAGAAAAGAAGCCTCCAACTTATGTTGTTCTACTATACACTATGCCTAGTACGTGCGTCAAAAGTTATGAATGAATGTATCTGGAAACTTGATGTGACATGGACATGTTTAAGAATATGTCCGCGTGGCGTAGTGGTAGCGCATTGCACTTGTATTATCCTTCCCTGCAGGATGTATATGCAAAGGTCACTCGTTCGACCCGGATTGTGGGCATTTATTTTAGTCCGAAGAGTATATTTGTCCTGTCCCGAGTCCCGAGTAGTGTTGCGAAACCTCTAGGGTGGGAAGAGGGGTTAAGTTCCGGTCTTATACCGAGACCCTTCAAGGAGGGGGAACTATGTTTCAATTCACCGTTACTTACACATGCACCATCACACAGCATTGGGGGATTTGTTTTGAGTTCGTTTTTATACATCCTGCTAACCTCTCGGGCTGTAATTAGCTGGAAAACAAAACATCTATATGCATTTGCTTTGTAAATACAACATGTATATATTAATATGGAATATAACCCTCAAAATACTGACCATGGAAAGTCACATAACAGGTAGTTACCCCAATGAAAATCCTCCTGGCAGTGAGGGAAGGTAACTTACCAGTCTGAAACCCCAGTGTATCAAAACCTAGGGTTTCATACAATCCTAATCCCGAGTCATCAGTACTTGTCATTATCATTGCATGAAACCTCCAGACAGAGAAAGGGGATAAGTTGCAGATTTTTACCTGTTGATAGACACAACATCCACAATCTAGCCGCCGGCATCAAGCGGAGCAGGGCCCGACTACAACATCCGGCGTCGGATGAATAGTTCTTTTACTAACGGCTGCGATACACTGACCGCCCTCTGCTCGGAATTCAGGCCAGATATTTTTAAGCACTGCGGCAGCCATTTCCTGAAACTCCGACTCGGTGCCTTTTCAATGGGGGTTGTCTTCGGTACCTTGACCATTCAAGTATGTGCTGATGTTCTCGTATCCCAAAGTCGCGCCGACTATAATTATTCACTCCCAGACCTGTTTTACTTGGCGCTCCCACAAGACGGCGACTCACAATGAGCCTCCTTCTTTTCATATACTACCTTGAACTTATCAGAACAACCATGGTTGCATCGAACGGTTTCCGGACCTTCGGCGCCAATTGGTGATTTAAATAGCTTCAGCTCTATTGAGAGTACCTATTTTAGAGCACTCAGTTGAGTTCTATTCAGTGACTCTTTGATTGATGTTCACGATCGCCCTTGGTGCGAAATATAGGATGAGCTGGCCCTTCGGACTACCAGTCACAACTGCATCGCTTCATTAACGTGAATATGACGGGGGGAGGGGGGGGGGGGTCGGATAGCTTTGTCGTTGTCGTTTTCAAGAACATTCAGTACCTGTCTACAGAACATTAACGGACTTGGCCACGCCAAACGAAGCCCTGAAACCAAAGATTGCCTCAGGGTCGCCCAAGGATTTAGGTCTTAAACCCGACAGCCCTGCTTGCCAATCTGGGCTTGGGTTTCCAACAGCCCCCGAAAAACAAGCCCTACACGCCATCCTAGGAATAGGGTCCTCGTGGTGACATAACACATCGATAATGAACATCAAAGCACAAACGAATCGCCAATCAGAAGTCCGGATTTACTAAGCATCTGCCAGATATCGCCCGGGGGTAATTAAAGTGAATAAGGAATTCAAACGTTGGCTTCGAGGGAAGATACCAAGTTTAAAAAAAAATCAAGCTCCAGAACAGTAGGCCGATTCCCAAAGAAAGAGACCCAGGTCCAAAACTGCGACCGCTGCATAATCGCATTTCGCACATGCCAGTTTCTCCGAGTCGTAATAAGTACTCAGCATCTGTTAACACGATAAAGGATTGTTATCTAGAAGCACGTCGTTCGCCAGAGTCACGGCCATATCTTTTATCACAAATTCATCGCAAACTTCGCAGGTACAGGGCCGACGCTGCATTCCCAAGTCTGGTTGTCCCGGCCCGGGCCTATTTTATGTCAACCCGTCATGCGTCGAAGCGACGACCTGTATCCAAACCTTTGGGTATCTGCGTCTACAATCCTTTTCTTCAAGTGGGAATTCTCTTGACGATGAAACGAGAATAGTTCTACAGTCTCCGCGAGGACGTCGGCATCTTGAGAAGATTCTCCTATTCCGTGTCTGTCACTGGACATAGACATCAAGCAGTCCGACATTGTATTCTCGCATTCGCACCGGGTCAAAGGGGGGTCAGTAATGGTCAGATCCATGTCTTCCAGCTGGCCTTCTGACTCAACGTCTGCTGACCAGTGCCTTTGTTATTTGATGAGCTAGCGATTACACGCCCCCGCCAACACTTGTCAGTCATATGCTGTTCTGCTCTCTTCAAGTGCTCCTTCCCGCCGCCCTTGCGATCTCTCCAGGCGGTCCTTGGGGTGTGTTCAACTATGCACCCAAGTCAGACGGTCTACCCTCAAGGCGTACACAGAAGCATAGGGTTCCGTGTCTGGCGCTAGAAATCTGGTAGGGATTACCGGAAGCGCGGACTTTCAAGCAATCGAGGTACAGGGCTTGCCCTTTTTGAAGATCCAAGGCTCAGAAACCCTTTTTAAGCCGGAGTGAGCTTTAGGCAATACGTCTTCAGTGTTTCTCTCTTTCACAGAGTACGCCAGCATTTATCGACCCTCTTGCTTCAGACCGCTCTTCATACCCGAAGACACGTTTTCACGATCCCCGCGCCATTATCAAAGCGACACTGGACCCAGCCTTCTTATTCTTACGCGGCGGCCGCTTCCGATATCTGGCTATAGTATCTCATTCGGAGACCACTCTCGAACGACGATCCAATGTCTCTTGGGCCACTCCGTTCATGTAGAATTGCAGGTCAAATTTTTTTACTTCGGATCCTGCGTTCCACGATCCGGATTTCATAGAGGAAAGTTGGCTTTACGGTTCGTACATATTTTCAGACCCGCTAAATCATCGCCCACAGTGATTCTTTACAAGATTTTTCTCCGCGAAATCCTCTCTGGTATCTATAATGGGCGTTATTTTGACAGCATCGGATCTAACGGATTATATGGGCGACGAGTCTCTCTCAGCAGCATGGGGGAGCGAATACTACCGCGCTCAAATCCAAGTACAATAAGGCGTTCTGGAGGGATATATCGTGACAACGTGACGACGACGCTTCACCCGCAGGATGCCAGCCCCTTCGCCACTCTTTATAAGCTGCCTCTCGAACGATAAGGTCTCTGTGAGTGCGGAACTGGAATGATTTAGGACCGGTGGTTCCAGAGCTCGCGGAAACCATCCCGCCGTTTACTAGCGGCTTTGAGGTAAGTGAGAGGTATATTAAAAAATGGCGACTCCAAAGCTGATGATAGGTAGCTTCATTCCCCCCTTTAAAGCCGGTCGGGATTTGTCTGAGCGTTGGATTTTTTACGTCGGAAATGGGGTTACATATTATGCACAGACCCTGTGCAAGTACCCTAACTCGAGGGTTTTACGGCTAAAGGCTCTTTTTTGGTCGTCCTTTTGTTGTTTTTATTTTATTGATCCTGTATTTCCCTAGCATTAACCGCAGATACCGATCTTACAGAGGAGACAATTATGATTCTTCTTATACCTCGCGGTTGGTCTTCGAGGAGGCCTACTTCGCGCCTCCCCCATACTTACCTTGCGCCCCTAGTCATCACAATATTGTACCCGGTAAAATCCTGCTTGCTTCCGTTCAGTCTGGGGGGAGGGTCGTTTTCGTTCTGGAGGGATCCCGACCGTGTTTTTAATACGGTATTTTGGTAGGGCTTTCCTTCCGAACCGCTTATGGGTCATCAAGCGATCCAATTCAAGTCGCCTGTTGATCTTCTTTGACCACATATTCTTTATCAATGATTCTGGTGAGAACTTACTGTTGTCTTTATTTATTACTCTTTCACATCGTGCATTTCCAGATAATTTGTGCCTAGATTGACATAACTACGAGGTAGAACCTTTCCTTACCGCTGTTCCGCCTGCCATTTTGGCTTTTAAACACTAGGGCGGCGCATGAGAAAATTGTTGCAGTTGACAGTGGGTGCCAAGGAATGTGTTTCTACGTTCTAGTATCTTTCTCGTGAGTTCCCAGACTTCTTTTTGGCCGGGTGTTGAGCAAGTCGTTAGGTAGGGCGTGTTCCATACTCTCTCCACAGTTTCCACAGTGGGAATAGTACGCTCTCTCGTGGTATTCTTGCGCAAATTTCAGTCATTTCTCCCCTACTCTGCATGCGTCATGCATAAGCATCCAGAGGAAATAACGAGTGCTTCTATCAATGTCTTCCGCAGGGCTTTGTACGCCCAACTTTGGGTCATTGCTTGCAGGAAGGCTCCTGTTATTCGTAGTGTGGGTTCGCCTTCAAAGTTTATGGGGTCTTCCTCCCTCCTCCTTCCATGCTCCTCTGTTTGTTAGGCGGTATTGTCATGTCTCTCCGAAGTGCTACTTTTGTCTGTGAACCGTATGTAAATGGTAGACTTCCTGGCGCTGAAGGCCATTTCGAAACCTCAATGGGTTGGTTCGTTGTCATAGAAATTAATACTTCCGGAGGGAACGAGTGGTCGATATTGATGTTGATGGGCCTGATCGGAGGGAAACATACCGTGTTTATATCTGCAGTTAGGTATTTTTCACATCGGAAGACCTGCTCGTCGAGAGGGGTTCAATGAAATGCGTTCATCATTGTGCTGGTACGTCAGTGGTACAGATCGGTCGTGCATATGAAGAGAAAGAGTCTGTGACATGAATAAAAGAGAAAAACGACCACGATAACAGGACGTGAGTAGTCATCAGAAGCGATGAACCGATTTACAGAGCCAAAACCCATCCCAACATCGCCGCCAAAGCACCACCTGAGCCTAGCTCAAGCCTGGAAGCAGAGTTGAGGCTCCCGGTAGAGGATGCAGAAGCAGACCCGGCGGATGATGCAGCGACAGAGCGTGAAGAGCTGGTGACAGAGCGTGAAGAGCTGACGCTAGAGGAGATTGCGGATCCCGTTCTAGAGGATAGGAGCCGTTAGAAGATGCCATAATAACGTGGATGGAATGAAAGCATCGACTCACGTTGTTGCGATCGCCGACGCCGATATCAAGGAAGCGCTATTGCTTGCAGTTGAGCTAGCACTTGTAGATGAGGACGATGCTGCAGCAACGGAGAAGTCGCCTGTCTGAGCGAAAACATCGTTGATATTCGAAACGTTCACTAGCTGGATTGTAAAGCCACTCCTGTATCAAGCAAAATCAGTTCTGCGGTAGATGGAACCCGGAAAGGAGTAGAGAAGAGAGCCACATCGTCGTTCATTACGTTGCCCAATCCTGGAGAAACGAAACTGAAGGCATACACACCCAGTTGGAAGTTCAGGCAATGACAAAGTTATCGACTGTAGGTCTGCATCCACATTGTTCGCAATGGCGAACTGTCGATTGAACCCTTGATTGATCAGTTCAATAGAGAACGTATCGGGGTCGCCGGCGGACATTGTCCACGTCACTGTGATTGGACCTGCAGAGGAGACGGTAGTGTTCGGGTTATTGACAGTAAGCGCATGGACGAAGGGAAGGGCAAAAAGAGAGATGAAAGCCAACATGGTCAATGGGGTTTGGGTGGTAGAAAGGGCGACTAAAACCACCAAGCCCAATATTTAAGCGTTTTGCCACGTGAACACTGGAGCGAGAACCGCTGGCCATCGTCTTCGTGTTGCCATGGCCTTACATATTTAGGTCTGTTCAAGTTCCGAATGGAATCCTTGGATGCGAAGCAGTGCATTTAAAATACTTGTATGCACACACCATTCGGCATAGAGAGAGAGGTTCGCTTTTGAGGGTAACATTACTACTTTATTTGGATTGGAACATCAATGAAGTTATGCCTGATCCATGAAAGAGAGGTACTTGCCAGTAAGACCGTGCAGAGCTCTGTTCGAGACCTGTTCGAGACTATTAAGTCATCTGAAGACATATTGAACGGCCTGTTTCTCACGGAGCATGGTTAATAGTACAACATGCGGCGATCGCTTTGACGGTCCTTTGCTAATATTAAGAAGCACAGGTCATGGAACTCCAGGAGTTCGAAAATGTACATGGCAGCGAGGCCGATAGCGCATCGAAGGAAGAAATGAGCTTGTAAGATGGTTAGACGTAAATGCGATTATCTTTCGCAGGACACAAAAGAGGGGCAATACGTCGAGGCCGTATCCCACCGGTCAGTGACCTTGTAGCCGATATACAGGCAGTATCAGCACCTTCGGCTGTTGCCAATAGGACGCCACGGCTCTCTCGTCCGTCATCGTCAACCGTACTTTTAACGGATTTACACAAGAAGCGAAAAACTTGATTATACAGGTCGCAGACGGCATGACCCTAACCCTAAGAGGGCAGTTTGTCGCCAAGCCTTTCCAGCCCGTTACTGCATTGATAGAGACGCTAGAGTCCTCTTGGTTGTTGGCGTGTTATGCGTATAGCGAGGATGGAGGGCGATGGGGTGATCCTTCGAGGCGAATATGGCTGGTGTTCCTAAATTTGAACTTCAAGGGGTCTAACGTGGCGGCGATGGCTAGGCATCGGTGTGGTGTATATATCCGAGAAAGAGTAGGACCCGTGCTCAAGCACTGAGGCCGAGGCCTGAGGCATAAACCATAGACAGAAAAGAAGCAGTCGAGGTGAATATGTCTTGTCTCTGGGGGTCGCTATAAATCATGGATTCATTAACACGATGGCTGACACAGTACTTGCGTGATTAGTGATGCGGTAGACCTGACGGGACAAGGGGTGTGTAACCGCGCTGTCGTTGCTGTGTCAGAGCTTGGTTGGAATAGAGCGATGTCTGCCATGGGCGAATAAAATCGACTTGCTCTCCACACTCGACCGCTGTATTCTGTTCAAAGCATTTTAGAAGCCAAAACTACCGAGTGTAGTACAGGATGCTCACCGAAAGTCTTCTATCGTGCGGCAACAGCATGTCGGTCTGATTTAGTGCATACTTCTTCGAATCCTTAGTGATGAAAGAGTAAAGTATGGAAGCTCATACCATTTCAGACATCGAAGGCGAGAATGTAGTAGTTGATTAAGCTCTACTCCTCGACTCGAGCAATGGGCTCCTCTCCTTTCCACGCCCAAAAGTTGGACCATATGGCTGCCAAAACGTCGATTGTCCAGGTACAGGCCTAGAAAAATCGTGATAAGCGCTTTTTCGGCACGGAGAAAGAGACCACACACAGGAACCCTGGATGCCAGAGAACGGCGACGGTGTCTCCAGAGAAAAACCTTCCCTGCGATCCTGAATACCAAGGTGGAGGTCACTGCTGCGCAGCTTGGCACACAACCAAGTAATTTACTCGTACAACGCTGTAGAGTTCGGTATCGTGCATCCAAGTGGCGATGATGGTGGTAAGAAGTCAACAATGATGCCGGTGTCAATACGACCCTGAATTTCCTTCTTGACACCACCATCTCCGAAGGCAAGGACCTCAATCTCGACGATGACGACGATAATTCGCATGTCTGTCTGCCATATCCATCTACGACCATGATATTCTAAGCCCGTCCTGCAGCAGGCCCCATTCCCATGAAAAGCCTCAACAAGGCCGACGATACCACCGTCGTGCAGGCTCAGTGCGCGATCAGTCTTCCAAAACCAAAAGCGAGCTCGTAAGTCAGCAGGAGCGTGAAATGCCGCATATATCCATCCAGTCGTGATTGTAGATGAGGTGGACAAATATTGGAAGACAACCAAGATTCACGACCTCGGTAACAGTATCT